CTGCCATTACTGTACATTACTTAAGCCTTCAGCCCCAGGTATCTTCAACATAGTTGCCTATTATTCACTAATCTATAAATGTGATGAGGACCCTTGGAGTCCCTTAAAGTGTTTCAAGCATTGAGGAGATTCCCACGACCATCGTGGATGAGGGCCAAGTGAGGCTAGTCTGAGAAGAGACCATCAAGGACACTAACTCGACACTGCTCCCAGACCCTGTACGCTTGCTCTCGTATTTTCTCTGCTGGATTCCGACAGCTTCATGAAGTGTGTGCCATATGTACATTGGTGACGTATGCAATGCAGTTGGGAAAGCAAAGTAGAAAACCCCGTACTGATCTTCCCCAGGATGAAACCCACACGAGTTGTATAATTCCCAGGTACCTATTACTTACTGACAGGTAAACATGGGTATCAAGAAAAGGAAAACCTGTGTCCAGCCAACTCTGTCTCGCCTGGGATCTTCAGTTGTGTTCTGAAGATGTAGGTCCACTGCCCCACAGGACCTGTCCATATTAATGAGGTGCACACCTGGGTGTTGGGAAGCTATCCCAGGAAACTTTGGTTGCCTTGTGCAGACGATGAAAACGGGCTGAAGATATGACCAAACCACATATCAGAAGATGGAGAAACGACAACATTTGGTCCGTCCTGAATCATTATCATAAAGTTGGGTGAGGTTGCACATGACTTGGTTGCACAAAGATTTTTGTCTTTGGTTGCTTGCCTCATCTCGTTACATTCAGCACTGGGTTTTTAAGGTACAGTATGTTAATGTTTTATTAGCTTAGATTTATACCTTATTTAATCAGTTGTATGGTTTCAGGTTCCTGCTCGTTGTGATGCCTTCATGTGTTTTGGACCATTGGTGCCAGATGGTTATGGCTGTTGCTACAACCCTAGGGAGGATGCAGTTTTCTTTGGCACATCAGCTTTTAATTCTTCACCTGAAACAGATTCGGCCACATTCCGTAATGCTCTTGAACAGAGTCTTATGGATATGCAAACTGTATTATTGCAAGAAGGACTGAAAGCCAAACTTTAAATATAATTGTAAAAAAAAAATATTTTTTTTCCAGCTTGTGAACATGAGTTTCCATGTTTAAAGGTCTCTTTGTTCATTTAATAAATTTGTTAATGGCTTTGTGAGTATAATTTATATTACAAAAATGTTTATGTAAAATTTTATTTTCTTAGACTTTATAATCTAATCAAACCTTTAGCACATTTGTTATAAAATGAAACTATAGATAAAGTAGGCCATGTTGTAAACATTTCCCTACTTGTAGCATGTATGCCTTGAAATGCATTACCAGCCAATATGGGTATTAAATACTCTTCTTTGAGCAGTACAACCAGACTACAACTACCCTTTTCTCTGCTGCCAAACCAAGTACATTACTGGGGAAAATTTATAATGGGAACAGCATATGCAAAGAAATATATATATATATATATATATATATATATATATATATATATATTAATAAAGCTGGACAGTACTTTATACTTAGTTTAGATTAGTTATACAAGTAGAGAAACTTAAGAATAAAGGTAACTAGAGAAGGTCTATTGATCCATACAATAATTCATTGGTTGAACTCATTGTATAACTGGCCAAGGCTTGTAGATGCAGTTAATTTTAATTGGAATATATCCATGGGATTCATTTTGAAAATACAATAATGTGCTGCTAATGTTTCCTTCTCGTTCTTTTGATTATTACTTTAAATCAAATTTATATTGGAATGTTTAAGGGTAGAATCACCTCTCAAGATAGCACAAAAGGAAAATATCTGCCTACTTGAAAAAAAATGTATACAAATAAATTTAGTTGTCTAGAGTGATTTGCTCAATATTTGGAACACTTACTTCTGGGTACAGTATCACAAGGTACTGTACGCCTTGTTTAAGGGGGCGTCAGGTTGTCAGGTCAAAGTTGTTCAATGTCAACCAATATTATTTGACTAGTTTTATATGAAAAGTGCTTTAATTGTCCCAAGTTTCAGTACTGCAGCGTAAATAGAAAGGGAGTTTTTTTTTTTTTTTCAACGTTTTTTACACATTTTCAAGTCCACACTTCAGAACACACGTTTCAGATATAATTATTCTGTGACACTTTTCTGACACATTAGCATATAATAAAGGACCTTGACATATAGAATTTTGAAAACATCTTTAGTTTTCCTAATACAAATGTTCAAAGTTCCTAAATTTTTTTTTGCAAATATGGCATGTTTATTGCTATTATAAAATCAATAAATGAACTTAGAGAAAAATGAAAACTTTCCAATGTAGAGACATGCCCTCCACATATACTGTGTAAGTTTCATGTAAATTGAATAAAAAATGAATCGGTTTTGTAAATGTTTGTGTCAATTGAAAAAAAAAACAGAAATGAATAAAGTCTAAGGTTCTAAAATCTGTGGCTGAGGTTGACATCAACCAATTTTCTCCAAAATTGGCATCCTTACAGATAGGCTTACGTACAGTCAGCTGTGTAAGTTTGATGCAAATCGCCCGAAAAAAAAAATGAAAAAAAAAAAATTTTCTTAAAATTTTTTTTCAATTAAACTAATTATAATATTTAATATATGCTATTGTGATAGCAAAGAGTCATAGCTATGATTTCAGTTGACACTTTTGATTGATAATCAATTTTGACCATTTTGGCATAAGTTTCACAACTACTTCAATATTTTTTTTCTCCCTTCCTATTTATGCTACGATGCTGAAACTTGGACCAGATGAAACACTTTTCATATAGAACTTGTCAAAAAAGTTTGATTGAAATCGAACGAGTTTTCATTTGTTGCATTTTTAGGGCAAATTGGAATCTGAGGCCCCCTTAAGGCTGATATTGTCACCTGAACCCACACACCATGGTGGCACTATAGGATAAAATATCACCTTTTGATGGTACTTCAGTATTATGGTTTTACTGGTAATTAAAACACTAGTTTCATTTGGAATAAAAGTTGACCCAAGGTAATTTTTTGAGGAAAATATAAGATAATTATGAGGAGAAAGGGCCAAGTCAGAATGATAAAACAGTTGGAATGGGTTAAGAGAACAAGGAGCTTTAATATGAGAACAGTGTCCATCTATTAGACAATTGGAATCAAACACTGACCTTGTAAGAAGTGAAGCTATTACTCTACTAACCAGTTTGAAAGTTTCTTAAATTCCATCCTTATTAACTGACCTATGCAATATGCAAACCATGAAAGGGACCCATTATATCTTTTAGGAGGAAGAAAATTTGATTAGTTTTCCTTTCCTCCATAATTTTCTTACATGCTGTAGCACTATTTGGTGGTATGCCACATTCTCAAATTTGTCATTGCAAGTATCTCTTTATTATCTGAATTTTGGTTTTAGATTTCTAGAGTATCTGGATTTCATAAAATATATCCATTCTATTATTATTATTATTATTATTAAAAATCCACTAGGGCTGTGATGTGGCACGAACTTATAAAAAGGCATTGCCAGTCATGTGATTATTATTATTAAGTACTGTAATGTAATCAGATTGACTTGATAAGGATCCAAGATGAACCAGTACATCAACACTTGCATTTAACTTGATGTGTTTGGTTTAGTTATTTGTTTCAACTTTATCCTAACTAATTCTCTGCATCTGATTGACATTTGTAATTGGTTCATTTGCAGTGGACTAATATCAAAGAAATAAGTCATTGACATGGTCAAATCATCAATTTGGTTCTAAGCCATTTTGATAATTAAAAGCTAGTTACTGTACTTTTAAATTTGATTTTGTGGATTTATATATCTTATACAGTATTTTCCCTTTTATTCCTTGAATGTTAAATTCTATAAGATTTCTCAAATTTCCATTCCATACTAAGTGTGTACACACATGTACACACACTAGTACCCAAAACATAAAAAACATACCCCCCAAACATACCAGCGATACAAAGATGCAAGAAACAACTACACGTCAATAAGGAGAAAGGCAGAGAGGAACTTTGAGAACGGTATAGCAGACAAATGTAAATCGGATCCAGGCCTTTTCTATAAAGTCATTAAAAGCTAGCTGCAGGTGAAGGATAATATTCAGAGGTTGAAAATGGGGGACAGATACACGGAAAATGAAAAGGAAATGTGTGACACATTAAACGAAAAGTTCCAAAGTGTGTTTGTACAAAAGGAAATCTTCAGAGAAAAAGACACAATAAGAATTCCAAAGAACATAGAGCACACAGAGGTGTCTAGAGATGAAATGAAACAAATGCTCTTGGAGCTAAGTAAGAACAACGCAGTTGGCCCGGAAGAAGTTTCACCATGGGTTCTGAGAGAATGTGCACCTGAGCTCCGCAATCCACTTCAGCTGATTTTTTAGACATCCCTGTTTACAGGATTTGTAGCAGATGTGTGGAAAAAGGCTAACATAGTTCCAGTCTACAAAAGTGGCAGCATGGAAGACCCCCTCAATTATAGACGTGTATCATTGACAGGTGTAATAGTCTAAATATTGGAAAAAATAATAAAAACTAAATGGGTAGAACACCTGGAGAAAGATTATATATCAGACCGTATAGTTTTTTGATCTGGAAGATCCTGTGTATCGAATTTACTCAGTTTCTATGATCGAGCAACAGAGATTTTACAGGAAAGAGATGGTTGGGTTGACTGCCTCTATCTGGACCTAAAAAAGGCTTTTGACAGAGTTCCACATAAAAGGTTGTTCTGGAAACTGGAAAATATTGGAGGGGTGACAGGTAAGCTTCTAACACGTATGAAAAATGATAGAAAAATGAGGGCAGTTATCAGATGCAATGTATCGGACTGGAGAAATGTCAAGTGGAGTACCACAGGGTTCAGTTCTTGCACCAGTGATGTTCATTGTCTACATAAATGATCTGCCAGATGGAATACAGAATGATATGAATATGTTTGCTGATGATGCTAAGATATTAGGAAGGATAAGAAACTTAGAGGATTGTCATGCCCTTCAAGAAGACTTGGACAAAATAAGTATATGGTGCACCACTTGGCAAATGGAATTTAATGTGAATAAATGCCATGTTATGGAATGTGGAATAGAACATAGACCCCACACAACCTATAAATTATGTTAGAAATCTTTAAAGAAGTCTGATAAAGAAAGAGATCTAGATCCTTGGTTCTAGATAGAAAACTATCGCCTGAGGACCACATGAATGTTGTGTGAAGAGCCTATGCTATGCTTTCTAACTTCAGAATTGCTTTTAAATACATGGATGGCGAAATACTAAAATTGTTCTCGACTTTTGTCAAGCCAAAGCTAGAATATGCAGCGGTTGTGTGGTGCCCTTATCTTAAGAAGCACATCAACGAACTGGAACAGGTGCAAAGACATGCTACTAAGTGGCTCCCAGAACTGAAGGGCAAGAGCTACGAGGAGAGGTTAGAGGCATCAAATATGCCAAAACTAGAAGACAGAAGAAAAAGAGTATTGCGACTGCATGACTACGTACAAAATAGTAACAGGAGTTGATAAAATTGATAGGGAAGTTTTTCTGAGACCTGGAATTTCAAGAACAAGAGGTCATAGATTTAAACTAACTGAACAAAGATGCCAAAGAAATATAAGAAAATTCACTTTCGCAAATAGAGTAGTAGACGTTTGGAACAAGTTAGGTGAGAAGGTGGTGAAGGCCAAAACCGTCAGTAGTTTCAAAGCTTCATATGACAGTGCTGGGTAGACGGGACACCACGAGCATAGCTCTCATCCTGTAACTACACTTAGGTAATTACTAGTACTGTATAGTCCAATCACTTGACCTGGCCGGTACAATGACAGCCTTGCTTCATGCAGGTCAGCATTCGATTCCTGATGGTCCAAATGATTGGGTACCATTCCTTTTCTCCTGCATTACCCATGATCTTTGTCCTCATAACCATTCCAAGTGCTATATTGTCATACTGGCTTGGCACTTTCTACTCATAATTACTTGCCTAGTTTAGTACTGTACAGTACATTTGGCACCCACATTTCTTTTGTGGTAATTTTGTTTTTAATATTCATTTAGATTAGATAAATTAATATGAAGCATTTTTCTTGGTTCTGTAGCACTCTGGGGATAATAACCGAAAGGTTTCAAGTTCAAATTTCCTGTGGTAGGTTTACGTTCTCTTAATGCATCTGTTCACATAGCAGTAAATAAGTACAGTACCTGGGAGTTCAGAAAGTTTTGTGGATTGCATTCTTGGATATGTCAGTAGTTGAACCTAGAGAATCCTTACATACACAAAGAAATCACAATAGCGTGATATATCAAATGAACAAATCCACAAGGGCCGTAATGAGGGTTTGAGCCTATGCACGGGATGTTCCCAGAAGCGCCTTAGTCAACTGTACCACGACATGGTTAAAAGAACTGCAACCTGGAGTGCTACTGTCCTTGCTAGGAACCCAAAGCTCCGAAGCCCAATTGGGGCTTCACACAATTACCCCTTGCACCCGGGCTCTGTCAACCAAATGCTCTATCTCTACGCCCTTACTTCAATACGCACAGAAATCACAATAACCTGATAGATCAAATGAACAAAAACACAGGGGTCGTGATGTAGGTTCGAACCTATGCACAGGATGTTCCTAGAAGCCTGTGAATTGTGTGAAACCCCGATTGGGTTTTGGAGACGCTTTGGGTGTCCAGTGAGGGCAATAGCACTCTAGGTTGCAATTCTTTTAACCATGTCGTGGTGCAGTTGACTAAGGCACTTCTGGGAACATCCCGTGTGTAGGTTCAAACCCTCATCGTGGCCCCTGTGGATTTGTTCATTAAGGAATCCTTGAAACGCCTAACAGACTTCTGGTACCCAACAATTGGGAACTAAATGTGTAGCATTCTTAATGTTGGATTTTGGAATTTTCA